GGTACGGACCTAATTCAAATGGCGATATAGATAGTACTAGAGGTCGGCTATATAATGTACTATGGCAGCGGACTCTGTATGTCTATTTTTCATAATTAAAGTAGTTTTTCCTAGCGAAGATAAATTTTGAGCGCTTTCCAGTGTTTCGCATTTCCTAACCAAGAGACTTGCCAACCATTTTAAAAATGAGCAAGCAAAAGAGATTTGCGCTAAAATGAAAACAAAATTCACCAATCGATAGAGAATTTCACCTTCTATCCGGTTAGCTAGTTAACAAAACCATAGGCATTGTTTTTCCCGTCGAAATAATTAAAAACGAAAAATGAGTCTGTCTTTGTTTTGGAAACATAGACGTGAAAAACCGATGATATACGAACGTCAAATACACCATTCTCTCCGGTTTTGAAGGCTCTATCCAATGGTGTATAATACATTGCGATACGATGGAATTTGAAGGAACTAATCTCACTCATCGACTATTCTCACTAAAATCTTCTTAATGGAATTCTGGAATTCTTAATTAAATATTCAAGCATAGAAAAGGTTGAAACTCATTATTCTCGTAAAAGTTGAGCTTTTGCACAATGTTCAAAGCTAAAGACCAGTCTTCTATAGAGTAAATATGCGTAATAAGAACGGACCTTTTAAATTGCGGAGCTTTTCTTTACCGTAAAATAATTTCTTAATCGACCTATGCACTTCACTTTGAAACTTCAGGCGCTAAAAAAGTCGATTTTTCAATCTTTCGCATAATGTTTATCGCTTATTGAGTTGTCATTATTGATAATAACGGTTTATTGCCATAGAGAGAACGTAAATACTGTATTCAAGTATTTTATGGAGTCTTGAAGAGAAATTCAAGGCTATCTCGATTAAATTTTATTAGAGTCATAAAGAAAGATTGACTCGGTCAACAGAACAACTGGTATCATGACTATTAGATGTGGAGTGCATAGCCTCAATAAAATTTAAGGCTCCTCTCTCAGAAATACGATATTTTTGTAAAAAAAGTCAATATTTAAAATTTAATCTATTCATTATCAATATTTACAATAAATAGTAGCATTTTTTTATTTATTTTGATCAAGATGAAAAGAATTTAAACGCAAAACACCATTAAACATTAATCGATAATGTAGCTTTGAAATCTATGGAGTCAATAAGCATAGATGTATGTAGTTAAAACAAAGAGTAATCAGCAGTTTGATTAGCTCCGTTCTGATTAGGCACATTTTTCCTAGTAAGAACGCCAAGCAAAGACTAAGCAAAAAAATTTGAGAATTCAAAAATGGCTTGATGCTGGTGTTATCCAAAATTAAAATTTTTGATTTGCCAAACGAAAATAATAAGGAGTCGAAAATTCCTGTGCACGTTAATGAGATTATATGAACTTTATAACCTGCACAATAATTTTTATACAATGAACAATACGGGATAGCGGTTTATTCATTGTTGATATTAGGCAGGTGGTTGCTCACTAACGGGAGAGTTCTTGTGTTTTGCTTGCTTGATACGTTGATCCAGAGAACATCATACTTCTGCCTTTACAAAACAACATCTCAGACAGTATATGCAAAGAGCTTTCATTTGATGTGCAGGATGTCAACTAAATATTTTTTTCCTGGCAAAAATAAATGTATTCTCATATACTATTGTATAAATATACCGACTAAACACCATTGTTGCCATATGTCAACGACCGCTTAGAAGCGCATATCAGAAGTGATTTTAATGCAGATCAGGTATATGATGAAAAGCGACGAGTTGTACAGAACAAACAAACCGTTTTTCATCGTTGAATTGAGACGCCAACTTTAAGAACTAAGTGATGCCTATTGAGACCCTCCATGTACCGTACTTCATGCCAAAGTAATACCGTATAAAGGCGCGTAAATTAATGATTTCTTTTTGTCACATTCACGCCTAAATTTTTCGTAGGGCACCTTTGGGGAACGAAATTTGTTTTAGAAACTGATGGAGCGTGTAATTCTTTATCGATTGGTGTATTTTGTTTCCATTTTAGCGCAAATCTCTTGATTAGGAAAAGCGAAACACTGGAAAGCGCTCAAAAGCCTATTATCGCTAGGAAAAACTATTTTAATTATGAAAAATCTATATAGACAGACAGAGTCTGCTCCTATAGTACAGTCGGCTAACTGTACTATCTATATCATCATTTGAATTAGGTCCGTACCACTTAATGGGAAAGAAAAATTCAAAAAACACATTATTTATAAGCTTCATAGTACTAGGGTTAATAAGATATTCTGACATGTCTGTTTCTAAAACGTTTCTGACTACAGATATGCGGAAGGATCTATCTGAATTTCGGTAACCTTGAAAAACCTTAAAAGGTCATATTTTACAAAATTTCTTGCTTTTGTCTTTCCGGCATCCCGTCGGAATCTGGATTTTTTCCACAGTAATGTAGAATGTACACTTAGACTATGTGCAGCAAATAAAACAGCCACAAACACATGAGGAAAATGAACACAACGAACGCAAGAGGAATGATATATTGTGCTATGTGTAAATGGTTTATAGAAGGGAAAGTTCTTCTTTTATCAACTATTCTTATAACCCCTTTAGTGAGAACTTCAAATGAGGTGTTTTGATAATATAAATGTAAGAAAAAATTTTCGCTGTTGTATGATGACCAGTGCTATCCACTGTATGTCTCTTACCAAAGAAACTAGACAAATATATCCTGTAATCTAGACATACAGAGAGTAAATCTTTTCAAAAAGTTCTGAAATTATGCTGTGGAATTCTAACGCGTAAAGAGCTTATAGTTCGAGAAAGCTTAAGAAAAAAAAGAGTATACCTTACACACCAGAGTTCTGTTGGATTTTAAGACTTAGAGCCCATAACAGAAATTTATTTTTGTGTCGAGTCCCACAATTACAGAGTAGAATTTCGGACAGAATTCTTTGAGTTCTCTTAAAATTGAAGCCAATAATCGAGGGTATTAGTAAAAACTATATACAACACACTTTGACCAGCTGCAGCGCTCGATTTAGCGGCCGTTGCAGCTAGTTTTAACGAAAACTAGGTGCAACGGCCGCTAGATTGGGCGCTGCAGCTAGTTGGGCAGGGGGTACTGAACACATTATACAAGACAGTTTCACTAACTGTAACGCCTTATTGTTCTTCTTCTCCGTGTATGACAGCTACGGTTGCTAGGAATTCACTGCGTCGATCCATCTTTCAGATGAAAGAAAATGACTATAATGTCTGACAGACTCCGTAAAAACCCTACCACCTGAGTCTTCATCAAGCCCGCAGCTGGATCACTTCTTGCGCCTCACACTCCCTTTATTGCGTTGGCGTGTCGGCAGCAGGAGTAAACCGACTATGACCAGTGAGACTGACGTGATCGAATCGGTATGGGACTATCCCCGTCCTCTTCTACTCGAACGCAGCTCTCGACACCTGCGTATTGTACACTGGGGATTGTCTTGGCAGACACCATGTTCGCATCCTCGAGACGAGTCATCCCCTTGCTATTACATTCCTCCCGCCGACATAAAAATTGAGTACCTCAAACCAGCGAGTTCTAAGCGCAACAACTTCTGCGAGTACAAGAGAGAGGCCTCCTACTAAGACATCGATGTCTCCGAGGAACTTGGGAAGAATGAACAGTCGAGCAAGAAGGCCCTGTCACGCGATGTAGCTTGGGGCTACGAACAGCCGTCGAATGCCTACAAGGAACTCAAAGGATATCTTGCTTTTTACTCCACCAAAGTCGATGTGTGCAGCGTCGATGGAGAGCGCGTCGTTCCGTAAAATGGAAGGAACAAAATACTGTTTCTTCTTCTCCTTTCTGTTTATAAGCGATGGACGAAGAACATGGCTCTAAAATGTCTGCCAACAGCGCGAAAGCAGACGCTCCACCGGCAAGCAAATCGAAGATTCGCCGAAAAGCCAACGATGTAACCGACGCCCAGCAGGACGTAATCACTGGTTTCATTCATCGGCTGAACAGTGAAAAACCTCCTCACAACTTGGAAGAGTGCGTTGTCGTTTGGTTAGATGCCAAGGCCGACAAGAAACCAAAAGTGTATTCTCAAAACAAAGCGCGCATACGGCGAATTGTGAACTATCTGAGAACATTCAACGACGCAGACGAATGCACAGATTATATAACAAGCATTGCCGAAGAGAATATTTTCTTCATCGTTTCCGGATCTCTCGGTCGAAAAACAGTTCCTGTTATACACGATTTACCCAGAATTGAATCGATCTACGTTTTCTGCCTAAACCAATCGAAGCACAAAAAATGGGCTACATCGTTCACTAAAATTCGAGGAGTCTTCACTGAGGAAGTCGACCTGCTTTCTCAATTAACCAAGGATGTAACGGATTATTTGGACAGAACTCTCCTAACTGTTATACAGGGAGGCACCACGCAAGATCTCACGAATGAGCAAGCTACAGCCATGTGGTTTCAAATCTTGCTCTATGTACTCTTACAGCTTCCAAGAGCCGAGAATGCGAAGACCGACCTGATAAGCGAGTCTCTAGCCCAATATCATGACAATAAAATTGAGCAACGTAAAATCGAGGAGTTTCGAAATTCGTACAAGCCTGAAGATGCAATATCATGGTATACACGCGACTGCTTCATCTACCGCCTAATCAACAAGGCGTTACGCACGGAAAACATCGACAACATATTTCTGTATCGATTTTTCATTACGGATCTCTACAAGCAACTAAAAACGACGCACTCCAATCAGTTCAAGGACAAACAAGTGCTCACTCTGTATCGAGGACAGAATATGTACGTTACTGAGTTTAAAAAACTCCAGAATAACATCAACGGCTACATTTCAATCAACACGTTTCTGTCCACTACGACATTGTCTACTGTGGCTTGCGATTTCAGCGGCAACACTGCAGTCCAGTATTCTAGTTCCATCAGATCAGTCGTGTTTGAAATAGAAGCCGATACGAGTCTTGATACGAAACCCTTTGCCGTGATCAGTAAAACGAGTACTATGCATGACGAGGAGGAAGTGCTGTTTACGATGGGAACGATTTTTAAAATTGTCTCCGTAAAACCGTTCAACGATGAGATCTGGTATGTAACACTGCAACTGGTCAGCGAACAGGATGAACCGCTAAAAGTGCTCATCGATCATTATAAAAAGCAGATCGGAGAAACTTCATCTCTGATGGTTCTGGGTGAGTTCCTTCACCTGAAATTATCGCAGTTCGATAAGGCACGACATTATTATGAGCTGTTAATCAAAGAGCTTCCCGCTGATCATGTGAACGCTGGAATGGCCTATCAGAACATCGGTACGATTTACAACGACGAAGGAAACTATGAAGAAGCCTTGAAATATTATGAAAAAGCAGTGCAAATTTACACTAAAACACTCCTTGACATTCACTTAAACTTTGCCGAGATCCACAGTTGCATTGCAACACTATTAGGAGACAAAGGCAAGCACAAGGCAGCTATTAAAAAGTATAAAGAGGCTCTCTCTATTCAACAGGCACTCTTACCGGCAGATGATTTAGCCTTAGCCACGACATTTAACAATATGGCTAACGTGTACTTTACCGCAGAGAACATCGGTCAGGCGATCAAATACTTCAAGAAAGCTGTCGACATAGAGAAGGTGAAATTGCCCGAAAATCATCCGGATAGAGCCGTAACTCTGAACAATCTCGGTGTTGTCTACTTAGAACACAGTGATCTAGTCATAGCTCGTGAATATTTTGAAGAGGCACTACGCATTCGTCTACTCTCCCTTCCGCCTACCCATCCAGACTTAGCCGATTCCTACGCTGCTCTGGGCAATCTTCTTAGTGACTTTGATGAAAAACATCAGGCACTGAAGCATCTGGAGAAAGCGCTGGAAATTCAACTGCAGTCTTTGTCTGAGACTGATTCGCATCTCGCTCGCACATACTCGGATATTGGCTTTGTATATTATAATCTTGGGTACAGAAAAACGGCTCTAAAGTATTATAAAAAGTCTCTTTCCATTAATGAGCACAGCTCCCATCCACCTACGTACGAAATTGTCAGAATTTACAATAATATAGCACAAGTACTACTGGACAGGCGTGAATATGCTAAAACTCGCAGATACTGTAAAAAGGCACTTCGGCTTAGAGAAACCTGTGAGAATCCCCAAAGTCACGCATTTGTGACGACGTTCACCATCATGGGAGAAGTGTAGGGTGAGGAGAACAACTTTGAAAAATCCCTCAAGTTTTACCAGACAGCACTGAAAATTGTTGTAGAAACACGTTCGGATACTCATCCTGATGTAGCAATCATGTACTCTAATATTGCAAGTATGTATTGCAAACAAAAGGACTACGCATCTCAGTTGGGATATTTAAACAAAGCGCTGGCTATTTGTCTGCATCCTTCGACTGAGCTAGTGAGTATATCATTAGTTCTACAAACTTATCATCTCATAGCCGAGGCACATATTTCAATGCGCGAATACGTATTAGCAGTAGATACGTATAAAGAAGCACTCAAAATTTCCACGGAGCCTATGTCAGTCGCCGATAACTACATCTTTATAGCCGATGTTTATAAACTTCACTTGTGCAATTACACAGCTGCATTGGTATTTTACGAAAAAGGATTAGAATTATGTCAAACCGAATCACTCGAAACGCTACTCACGGAGCTCCACTGTAAAATCGGTCAGATATACGATGAAACTGAGCAACCAGCGTTAGCGATGAAGCATTACAAGCTGTCGCTCTCATTCGCACATGAAAACGAAAAGAGTGGTGACTATATTGCAGCACTACACCACGCAATCGGAGTAGTATATCGTGAACAGGGAAAGTATTTTCTTGCGATGAAGAAGTTTCAGAAAGTACTGAGTCTCCCATTGAAAAGTGAGACAGCTCAAGAGCATATTTACAAGGACATTGGACTTACACAGTTACGTATGCATCATGACGAAGCGGTCGTTAAAAGTTTCGAAAAAGTGATCGAGATTCATGTGAGTCACGAGCAAAAGTGCAATTATCCGCAGTATGCGGCTTTGGCAAATGTCCATCTGGGAAACATAAAATTCGAAGGAGGACAGTATCAACAAGCCATTATACACTACGAAAACGCACGAGTGTTATACGAAGAGTGCGCACGAAGAATCGCCAAAGGCAATGAAACTCTAGTACACGTTTACTATCAACTTGGCCGTTGTTATGCTAGACTGTTCGAGAACGATACTGCGATAAAGAACTTGGAAACAGCTGAGAGGCGTGCAACTGAATTAGGATTAACGGATGAGCAAGTTGGGGTCGTCGTAGACAAAGGTATTTGAAAGGCACTGCTGTTGCTGCGTTCTCGCGTAATTAGAAAAACTGTATAAAGAGATATAGGACTCAGATATAAGTGTGTAGTTCTTCTTTTGTGAAATAAAAAGCTGCTCGAAGCGAAAGTACCCATTCCTCCTTTCTTGTGTCAACTGTGGAGGGCACAATCCTCCTGATCTGTGAAACTGACTCTTTGCTCTTTACTCTGTGCCAATTCGAAGGCTTCACCTTGAGCTACGAAAAGCCGTCGAATGTCTACAAGGAACTCAAAGGATATCTTGCTTTTAACACCACCAAAGTCGGTGAGTGCAGCATCGATGCGTCGCTCCGCAGCCTGGAAATTTTTATCTATATGGAAAATTAGTAATAATAATGGGTGCGATCGAAAGGTGAAGTCCGCATAACAACGGTAATCGGCCCACTAACAATAACCCCTCCAATCGGCTACAACCTCATCAGAATCACATCCGATTATTATATTCGATGATTTCGACCCTTCCGAGCGCATTCAGTCGAATATACCCGACAGAATCTGCTTGAAACCAAGCGACAGTTTAGCACCACCAGTATGACTGTAAACTCAACATTTCTCAGTAACCATACCATATTAAACCTAGCGCATTGGATCATTCGATGCGCCATGAAAAGCTCTACAACATGTGTTAACAAGCAACTTAACGAAGCCTGACAACAAGTTTTATGAATTTAATACTAGACTTTTGGATAGGTCCCCGCTGTGCTACTCGAACCGTCGGTCACTTTTCGCTATGAAACCAAAGTTGATCTCTAATCATTCATACATCATTCGATGCGTCTTGAAAAGCTCGACAATATCTGTTAATAAGAAACTTAATGGAGCCTGCCAACAAGTTTTATGAATTTAATACTAGACTTTTCCATCGGTCGTGGCTATACCACGGGAACTCTTTGTCACTTTTTCTATGAAACTAAAGATGATCGCTAATCATTCATATAACATTCGATGCGCTTTGGAAAGTTCTATTTCTACAAGAACTCGTCGTATCTGCAACTATTTTTACCTGACGTCACGCTTTCAAAAATGGAAAAAAACTTCAAATCGAGAAAATTAGAACTGCTGCTGGGTTGCAGCCAAGTTGACTAACATAATGACAGAAAAAACAGTTTTATCTACCTTTCAAAATAAAATTTTTTCTTATATTTACATTGTTCTCTCTACGACGTACAGCAAGCTGCTCTTTTTAAATCTATAAATGATTCGATATCAAATCCAGATTACTCATTAAAAACTGTGTTATTGTTAACCAACACAATTCCTAAAGCTAATTATTGTGTTATCTCTCGTTTAGTTATCAAATACATTGATGAAACCTCAAGATTTGCTGTTGATAGATAAATACTATGTTACGTCTAAAAGTTAAGCAATCTCTCTTACTATACCTCGCTCTCTCATTCTTTTTTTTCTTTTCTTTCCGATTAAGATTTTGTTATTCTTATTTACATATTGTAATATCAAAGGCATATTTATTTGTATTATTTTTGCTATAGTTTATGGTAATCAAGCAGAAGGTTTAATGACTGAAATTAATGTATTTTTAATGAATCGGTTAATTGAATGAAACCGAAGCTTTTGAAGAAAGTAACCAGCACAATGTGAGCGAATGTGTCTTCTACCGGATCGCTATCGAACGTGTTCGGACGAAGATTACAAATACGATAATTTATATTTCTCTCATCAGAGACATCGACGAGCGCTCTGCTGACAAACTATTAGGACAAAGTACCATAAACCTTATAAAGATACATTCAAATTAGAGCTGCGACTGTCTGTCTACTTTTTTCTGCACAATGAGAAAAACCATTTTTGCATGAAAACAAAGTAAATCAATCTGCTATACAGAGGCCACGTGAGTAAGTAATTAGAGAGTAAATCAGATATAATAGAAACTAAAGGTACTTTCAACTTCCTGGAATAAAGTAAATATAAATTTGCTGCTCTGATGCAAACTTTTCTTTACATGACTACCTACGGCTACGGCGTAATCAAGGCTGCTTCTCCGTTTGGCGTAATCTTCATCATTTTTTCTGTTTTACACTTTCATGTGTTTCTTCGTTCTCATGTTCTTAGCTTTGACAAACTATTTTTTTTAAACCTTTGGTAGCGATTCAGTAGAAGACACATTCGCTCACATTGTACTTTAGTCTATTTTCTCACTGGTTAGTTCCTTCAAAAGCTTCAATTTCATTCAATTTGCCTTTAGTCCAGATCAGGCATGCAACCATCCCAAGCTAGGGCTCGCTGATCGGCAGCGAGCATGTTCAATAGCGAACCGTTCGGTTGCGAACGGTTTGGTGACCGAACACATTTATTCCATTCTGCCATTTTTTCTCCGTTTTGAGTATATCCTTTTTCGCTGATTTCTCTTATTTTCATGTTATCAGAATGAACATACAGAACGAAAAAGAGAATATTCGTGTACAGTTTGTATTGAACATTGATTTGCGCAGACATCTACACTTTATTGTGAACGTTCATTTACTCTTCAACTCACAAAATCTCTCACTATGAATCTAATGTACTATCCGTCAACTTCATTGATTTCCTCAAATGCTACCGAATAACATAAACCTAATGAATATACACTCTAAAAAAAAATGCAACTTAGGATCAAATTAAGTCGCATTAATGTGCCTTATTCTGTGAAAATAAGACACATTAATGCGACTTAATTTGATCCTAAGTCGCATTTTTTTTAGAGTGATAATAGTAACCTTTTTCCGAGTTATAGCAAAATGCAGAACATTCGACTTGTGCTTTAAAGAAACATATTGTTTTCTCTAAAAGGATACTGAAAAGAACAAAACACTGAAGTCTGACTGAACAAAACACAACATTCTTCTGTATATATGTCAAAAATGTTGATGATCAATTCTGAAATAACATGGTTTGACTACTATGACTTTCGCTTATATTTATCAACTTGCAGTTGGTACCTAAAGTTGATACATAAAGGTACCTGCTCTTTTTGTTACAAAATAGCTAGTTGCAGCAAAAGGAAAAAGTATGTTTTACTTGCAATGCATCTTAAGAAAACATCATTTTCCTGTCTTTCTGATAATTCGGATTCTCAAATGAGATCTACAGTCGTTTACTGTTTTTCTTTCTTTTAATCTTGTTGTGTTTCAGTCTAGTATATATTTCTTATACATACACATATACATTTGTATGTAGAACCTTATTTCTGTTTTAAAAAAGAACTGAAACAAGAAAAACATCCCCTCTTTTTAAAGAAATGTTTATTAAGGGTGGAGGCAGATTCCCACAAATGGTACTACTAAACCTTCTCAGATTGTAGAGAATACTTGAGTGCATATAACCTGCATTGTTTTTGGAGAGTCGATAAGTATTCGCGGAATTATAAATTAATTAAGATAAAATTTTAGCAAAAAAAATTTAATTGCTGGACCTATTAACACCTTCTGGAGGGGAAACGAAAACAGTCGGTTTTATGAAAAGTATGAAAATTCCGTCCGAAAGGTACTAATCTCTGTTTTTGGTCGAAAGCTACGTAGTCAGGTACTCCTGACTGCGCTGATTCCGAATATCACCTTTTTTTTCAAATTCGATCAAGGTTTTGGGGAGAAATTTTCAAAATACTAAGGGCACCGAAAAAACAAAAAATTTGCATCATCCTAAGAAAACTTGAGATTTTGCCCCCTTTCGTTCATCGTAATTTTTCGAATTTTATATATTCGGATTCCGCATCAAAAACTCAGTCTAATCATGTACCATTGAGTCACAGAAACCAAAATACCTATGTTGCACAAGTTTGACAAGAGTAAGCACTCGATAAATGAGCTACCTCTCTCGCAAACCTATCTTCTCCCTGGTTTTGAAACTTTTCTCCGATCGTCATACGCCATTCGAATCAGCATTTAAAGGCGAACAAAAGTACGCATCGCTTTTCTTTCTAATATTTCTATCTTACTGAGAATACTCTTTTTTCCCATACCTGGAGTGGAAAGGTGAAATTCTGCCCCTAAATCTCGATTTTTCTCACCAAAAGTCCTTTATTATGCAATATAAATATCATATTCTGAATCAGCGTGAAAAACTGGGTCGAACGACGCAGATATCAATCCTTTCCGAGAATTTTCATTTTTTTCGAGTTTTCCACCAAAAAATGGAATTCGCGGAAAGGATTGATATCTACGTCGTACCCAGCTTCTCACGCTGATTCAGAATATGATATTTATATTGCATAATAAAGGACTTTTGGTGAGAAAAATCGAGATTTAGGGGCAGAAGAGGAGCAAGGGAAAAAATGAAAAGAAAAAGGGGGCAAAATCCCAAGTTTTCTTAGAATGATGCAAACTTTTTGTTTTTTCGGTGCCCCTAGTATTTTGAAAATTTCTCCCCAAAAACTTGATCGAATTCGAAAACAAAGGTAGGAAGAGGACTACATATGATACTGAATAATTCCGTTAAAAAACTATGCTTTGTAATCTGTTAACAACTGATATCAATCTAACTTATTTTTTTGCTTGTTGTTAAACTAGTCATATATTCTGCGATTCTACGCGGCGCCCCTTTCCGCAATAGTTTGAGAGAACATAGTAGCAATACACTATGACAGCAGGACCCTAGCAGACACAATCATGCAATAAACTAACAATTATTATACTAATTACGAATAGTTGTTCCTTCTGTCAATCAATCCGCGATAATCAGCTCTTTATTTACATATATTATGAAGTAGAGAGTGCTAAATAAATAAGTAATAAAGTAACTGACTTATCTGTACTGCATAATACTGCTTCTTTCTTCACACGTACATAACAGATGTATGAAAAACTGTTAACTATCCACTGTAGAATTCAGAAATACAAAAATGTTCTCTAAGTATCTATCTACATTATATATTATATATTTATTTTGATGCATATAATTAATTGACAGCAAGTTTTGTTGAATATTTTGTTGTACTAATCATATACTGAGTAAGTCGTCAACATAATCGTAGTTCATGTAATCGACAAGATATAAATTATTGTTATATGAAATCAGTAAGCAAGCCTTTCTTAATAAATACAGAAATATAGAAGACGTTCAAATTAGTTTTACCACCTTCTTTCCAGGTTTTACGAATGGGTTGATTCGCACAAAGAGTGATTTTGTTTTCAAGTTAGCACTAAACAACAAATTTAAACTATATGTTTGTTTGTAAAACTTCTAGCGCATTACTAATATTGATCTCAATTTGGTCGTATTGTTTAAACTATGCAAGTGAGTAAAAAAGAATGTGCATTTGCGAAGAATTAAATCTGATTACTTTTCTTCTTCTATGCCCTCAAGACAAGACATTACTTATTGTGGGTTGGATCTATTGATTAAAACTGTATTTTATTATTTGAGGAAAAAATATTTGTTAGAGTATTCTCAGTTCAACATGTGTATATGTGTCCTTATTATTCATTTCGCTTTCTATCGCATGCTTGTAGTTGATACACCGCACTACGAACCCAGCATCTAAAAATCACAAGTCAAAAAGCTCTTTTATTCCGGAGTAGTGAGCGTTTTAGCCATCACACTATAGATAATCAATTTCACAACATAACAGATTATAATTCACTAAGAGTTCCACTAAAGCCTTCTAATCTCAAGTTCGTATAAAAACTGGGTATTGTACTAATTGCTGACTTACTTTTAATACTTTAGCTATTTTAAGCACTAATACTCCGATGGCGAATACCACAACAAGTACATTAGACATCTAAAGCAACGATGTCTACACTATCATTATCATATTTCTATTCTACCCTTTCAACCAAGTTAGCATACACGTAACCACTTATAAAGATTTTATGAGTAATACCAAATTCGGTGGATCTGTCACAGTTTACCATGCGTTGAACTGCAGTTTCTCATTAAAGGAAACTGTTTTTCTGTTTCCCTTTCTGAACTAGAAGCAAGCCAGCAGTTCATGTTTCTAATGACGAGAAACGAGAAATCTACTCAAAAGTAATATTTCCTTCGCACGGAAACTGCAATGGTTTTGAAAGAGGAACTATCCGATACAAAGAAGTTGTGTTTCTGATGATCTAACAGTCTTCTATCTCCTTTAGTGAATTATACAATTCAAGACAACTAGTCAAATAATCTTGTCAGGACCCTATGAGATCGTATGTAACATAGATCGTAAACATTGTGGTGGATACTTCATAATAAATTACTGCATTCTTAAAACTAGCCCTAATACTATTTCTGATGTGCGGAAGGCATTATTTCGACTCTATAGTTTGATGCGACAAGTTTGAGATCATAATCCAGAGAAGCAAAGTTCTCCATTAAGCATATTTATCAGACAACGGCAAGTGTTGAGTGGAAAAACGAGCCATATGTAAAAGATAGTAACATCATAAGTGTTCAAAAATCGTGTTTTCGTAAAACGGAAGCACTAAGTTTAGACAGTGGCCTTGATTTTTACCGTAAATAAACTCCACTTTTCAACTTCATTTGTAAAAATTCGCAGAAGAGTCGATGTATCGTTCAAGTCCGTCTCATCAGTTTCTGTGTTCGGTCATGCTCGACTGACAGATGATTGTGTTATACTATCATTTTTGTGGTACCGTTCTCGAACATAATTTGCTCGTATTGCGATGTAGAGACAATCACAATTTTCATAATATGCAATATTCGAGTATGTGATATATTATTACTAGTTATATCTGACATGTTAAGTGAGCAATCGTGTCAAAACCTTTCCCTTTAAGGGATGCTCTCAATTGAGATACATTAGTAGAATACAGATAGTATCTCAGTTGAGCATATTTTCCTATGTCTACATAAAAGAAGTTTATGCTCTTGTTTTTGTTCCTTACCTATATTCTAAACTGTATAGTTTGATGTTCATATAATGTCGCAATTAGTCTCATGAAGTCACTACGAGTGATGTTGACATATAGAAGAAAGAAACAAACATACAAATAAAAATGAAGTCAAGTAAAAAAAGTAAAATCCAAGTGAAATAAAACTGTTGACATTTCAGGTAAGATAAAAAGAAGCACATTGAATTCTATTCTACTTGAAGAGAATTTCTAGTTCTTGAATGTTCCTTCTTCTATAACTTTAAAAGTACATGCCATGCTTGTGTTAATCCTGTTTGAAGCTTGGAAAAAGCAAGATGTAACTATAAAACAGCGTAAGCCAATTAATTGGGACAAAGACTTGCTAATAATAAAGATAAAAGAATCACGTTGAATTCCATTCTGGCTGAAGAGAGACTGTTCTTGAATGTTCCTTTTTGTATAACTATAAAAGGACCCAGGCCGAAAACAAGTGATATTTAATGGGATATAGATGGCCTGATTCATAGATGGTCCATTCTGCATTATTATTGGAAACGTATTAAGAGGCATTATCTGATACGGTCCGACAGTCGGAGGTTGTTCATGTGACAGATCGGACTGTATTTTTTGATACGTGCCTTTTTCTTCATAAACTATTTCCAACTTTTATTTTATATTTTTCTCGTTGACCATAGTCCAAGCTCCTATACTCTAAAGATACGCCTTTAGAGTCTTCTGTAAATCGAATGCTATTTCATAAAAAATGTTGTGCAGAGCTCTGACACGTCTCATTTTGATTTGAAATGTTGTTGTTTTATTTAGCACTTAATTTTCAACTTCTTATCGTGGTTTTGATCCGCACTAAAATGCGTTTTTATATACGCTCGTTTATGCGATCATTCATGTGACGTTCATTTATTTTATTATGCTGTGGGAGGATTATAATTTCTCGGGGGAACAGAAATAAACATTAGATATATGTAGTTTGATTAAAAATCATCAAGAATAATTTATCAGCATTATAACTACATTGCGGAATTCTATGAATGCGCACAGAATGATGGTAATTGCTGCTTTCTGTCCAGTAGAAACAGCAAGCCGTTCTTTAATCAGCTTCAGTTTTATAATTAATTGATTGTTTAAAAGTTGTCCGACGCCATAAACATTCTTGATTTTCTGATACAGATGTTCCGGTGGTTGTTTCTCAAATGTTTTTCCTACCATGTACCACTCTGTGTCATGAAAAAATATTAATTGAATGAACACTGCGACGTCCCCTTCATCGTTCAGGAAAATTGCGACAGTCTCAACGTATTTGTGGTTTTCTTTGCGTAGAATCGCACTTCTAAGGTGGATCTCTCGATATACACATTTTTTGACATAACTGATTTTGCTATCAATGTTACTCAGATATTTACGTACTGATTCGTCTGCAGCCAGTTGTGAAATGTTATACTCATGCACATAGATAACATTGAATTTGTTATGTCTTGGATGGAACGAATCACTTGAACTAATTTAAACAAAGAATATTCATCAGCTAGAAAATGGCAAAAGTTTTTTTAGAAGGTACCCATTTGCAACCTTTTCTGCATATGACATTAAGTGAGCGTCCTGGTAATTGTGATTAGCATGACATGTGTACGCTGACGAATAAAAAATTCACTCGTTTGCCATCTCGATACCACTGTTACTGTTTCCATGTAATAAGTTAGAAAAGAAACCATTGATCGACTCAAAACCATGCATGCATCGAATTCAACAATCGAACCATATAACCTGCATTGTGATGACATGTGGTGCGGATCTCCGATTATTGAACGGACTTTATCTTTGCCATACAGTTGTTCAAATTGTGAAACATAATTTAATAAAGTAGTATGAGTTTCTTAAATGGTTTTCTGGCATAAACGTTTCTTGCCACTCAACATAAAAATTGATTCGACTAACAATAGATGATGCTTAAAATAATTATCATTTAATACCACTACCAATAACGGAAAATAGCACAACAAGAACGAACGAAGTTCATTAGATTTATGATTTACACCTATATTAAATCAGAAAATAATAATAATATAAATTGTGCTGTGTAATTATTACCGGAGACAAATGGACAGCATTTTTTAAATACAGACGTTGGTACGTGTATTTGAGAAAAAGTATTTGAGAATTCAGATATGTCCTTGGAAAAAGACCATATTTGTGATGTGAATGTAGATGATGTTCATAGGTTCACCACAAACTTGGTCACTCCTACAATATACGGCTGTATATTGTAAACTGATGAATCACCGCTACTGTAAACTAACCCATATAAACGGTGTGCATTGAATCAACAATGAAAGAGTTTGGAAATCGGTGGAATCGACAGCGCTCAAGTGCAAAGGTTCCACAATGTCCGTTGTGACGTTTTCCGACTGAAATGCGAACATATTGTTAATTATTTTTAGAGAAAATAGAATCATCTTCACTGGGTATCATCGGTTATACCTCTTAATACTTTTCCCATAGACTCATTGTACGTCTCTTGTGTTCTTAGAGGATAAGGCCCTTTATCTGAACCTGGAAAGCATATTACGTATCCTCCTTTTTTAGTTGGTATACATTCACCTGGATGTAAACAACAGGGACTGTCGTGGACACGAATTTCCCGTCCATGGGGGCCCATGGGCGGAACAGTTGCGTCCGTGGGCGCCCATGGACGGACAGTTAAGTCTATGAGCGTCCATGAGTGGGACCTTAAAAACTAGTTACGTCCATGGGCATCCACGGATGGCACTTTAAAAAAGTTTTGCAGTTAGCTGCAAAGCTAAGTTTACATGTTCGAATGTTTATTCGTACAAAATTGATTTTGTGTTCTTCGATAGGTTTAGTTTAGAATACTATACTGGAATATTTTTTCGCTTGTATTCTGAGAATAAAGCTTATACCAAAGTTTTGCATCCGCATACATGGGCGCGGACGGACGTTCTGTTCATGGACGAAAACGTTTTTCCGTAATAAAATACGACCAAATTATATGGTTTTTGTGTTAGAAGCCCACTTTATTCCCTATATTCCACAAGCATAAATATTTTACATTAAGAATATTTAGAAACGTTAAAACAAGGAAAAACTTCTTGAAAACAAAAGAAAACACTTTATTGCTCGAGAGTACGCCTGTTCATCATTTCAACTGATCTTATCAATAAAATACTGTCAACTTGTGATGGATTCACATTGCATCGAATCAGAATTAAAAAAAAGACCTGTATTTTCCAGTGTAAGCTAGAGACATCCGCTACTAGCGAACCTCCCTCTACTAAGAAAATAACGATTCGTTTTTCCTAGCGAAAATAAATTTTGAGCGCTTTCCGGTGTTTCGCATTTCCTAACCAAGAGATTTGCGCTAAAATGAAAACAAAATTCACCAATCGATAGAGAATTTCACCTTCTGTTCGGCTAGCTAGTTGACAAAATCATAGGCATTGTTATTCCCGTCGAAATAACTAAAAACGAGTCAGGTTTTCCAATACTTTGTTTTGGAAAAATAGACTTGAAAAACCGATGATATACGAACATCAAATACACCATTCTCTCCGGTTTTGAAGGCTCTATCCAATGGTGTATAATACATTGCGATACGATGGAATTTGAAGGAACTAATCTCACTCATCGACTATTCTCACTAAAATCAGGTGTTTTTAGGTGAAGATCAACTTTGGGAACGAAGTTTGTTTTAGAAACTGATGGAGCGTGTAATTCTTTATCGATTGGTGTATTTTGTTTCCATTTTAGCGCAAATCTCTTGATTAGGAAAAGCGAAACACTGGAAAGTGCTCAAAAGCCTATTATCACTAGGAAAAACTATTTTAATTATGAAAAATCTATATAGACAGACAGAGTCTGCTCCTATAGTACAGCCGGCTAACTGTACTATCTATATCATCATTTGAATTAGGTCCGTACCACTTAATGGGAAAGAAAAATTCAAAATCCAAAATTTTTTTTTTTCTATTCAATTTCAATTCAAAATCCATTAATTTTGTACACTACTCCAGTGTTTGTATCACCAATCTCTTTATAATTCTTTATGAACATTTTTCGTACCGTTAAACCTCTCCTGAATCCGAACCTCACTTCTGTCGTTGGGAAAGCCTTTTCAAACATCTTCTTTAGTTTATCTGCCATGATTTTTGTTTCATTACCCCAGTATGTCAGCGAGGTAAAAAAGATCTTTTTTATTTTTGTTGGAGCTTGCTGTTTTTGTTGTTCAATCGTATATTTAATTTTTCTTCTTACTAGGTTTTTAGGATATCCACTCCTGTTTTAAATAAAAGTTTTAAAATAATGATTGTTGAACTCATACAGTTAATCTTTTCCTTTATGAAATTATTATCAACACCCTAATTACTTCCAAAAATCCGTCGAGACGGCCGTTTATACCAACGGTTTTCAGTACGTTTCGACGAGTCTCAACAATTGATTGAACATACTACGTCGTCGAGACTATACAAATATTCGTAGTCTTCCACATTTCATCTGTCTCGACGGCGTGAATTTCGTCTGGCAAATTGATCCTACAAATTATTTTCCGTCTATACGACTAACCTTCCGTAGGCTACGTAAATTTATTCGTCTTTTCATACGTCTTTGCGCTTTTTCACTTCTGAATTGAAGCCTACATCGTATTGACGGTCATCTTTCCGTCATAAAATTGCTTGGCCGAAGTAAATCTGTCGTATACGGCCGTCGAACGGATAATTAGTCGTCCTTTACGAATTTTTATACTGACTTTAACTAGCTTTATGAGATCCATGTGCTCGCTAGAATTTCTGATGATAGACAAAAACATTTTATTTTGTCTCTTACCAACAAATTCTAGCAACTTGAACTGGATCAGTTTTTGGGACACAAGACAAATAATTTAGTCCTGTAGAGAAA